GAGCTTTCACTTAACTGTTGGAATCTTTGGGAAATCCAGCTGATGTCATCAGTGGAAAAAATGTTGATGTTGTTGGTGATATCTGATCTGAGACAAATATCACTGTGTGGACTTGGAATTTTAAAATAAATAGCGTCTGCAGGAGATGTTGCCTGGAGGTTTTGTTGGTAAAACTAGAATGCTTCTTTTTCTCCTCTCTATCTTGCTAGAACACAAGGCTGTCAAAATGAAATGAGTCGTGAGAAGGCTTTTGGTACACTTTTTCTTTTGAAAAAGACTTGTTCTCCATGGCCTTACCTGAAACTTGTACAAGGGCACTTGCTTTATAAAGTTCGTTTCACATATTCTGTATGTGTGGTGTGGCTCAGGACTGCAGTAAAACACTATGTAGAAGTAGTTGTTTTCCCTGGTACCTGTTCTCTGATTAGTGTAATTTCGGTGGTAAACCTGAGGTAAAAAGTTACCAGCTTTGACAGGATTTAGCATTACTGTACTTTCTCGCTGTCTTCAAATCGTTTGCATGCTGCTGTTTTGAAATGAATAATGTATGACTGGGGAACACAGGGTGCCTGGTTATTACAGCAGGCTTTTTTTAATGAACATTAAAAAAATTGGGGGAGGGGGAGATTTACATTAAACACTTGACGTTTTATTCAGACTTTCTTTCTGAATAGACTCTTTTTTTTTTCCCTTGCACAGACAAGGTTTTTAGTTTATTTTGATTTATTTTTCTTCTTGCAAGGTAACTACCATCAACTGATTAGTTTGCATGTAGAACACTGTTTTTTAGCTCTTTAGGTAGAGTTTTGAGATTGAAACCAGGTGGGAAGGAGCATTAACATATGTGAAACAGCTGCTTAGTTCTTGCTGCATGTTGAAAACAGAGGTCACCTGCCTGATGCTTAGCTTTCTCTAAGGAACGACTGTAGTACAGTCACTTTATTGCTCTGCTTCTGTTTATTCATCTGTAACTTACGGGTAGTTATTAATTTATTTTTGTGTTAGCTGTATGTCGTTGTACATGGGGTAGCTATTTTAATTTCCAAAATAATGGAAACAGCAGTGTTTTTAACTTCTCCAGTGGATGGATTACTGTAAATGCATTCCTTTTGGAAATAAGTTTAAAACAGGATGGTTCTTTCATAACTGATGTTCAGCCCTTATGATAGCTTTTTGGCAGAGAAGTTCAAAGAATTTCCATCTTCAGAACTGGAGAGGAAGAAATCTACTTTTGTGAAATGGTATACTGTTTCTTAACTGTATAATCTTGTTGTAGGCTTTTAAATCTATTATTAAACAATACAGTAACAACTTTCCTGCTTGCAGGAAGAAAACCCAGTACTTTAGATGTCTCTAGAATTCTTGAGGATTTAAAATACTTCAGGACCTAAGGAAAGTAATAACTAGAAGTAATGCAATTTCTGTATGCTCTCCTCTGTAGAGGAGAATGGTGTGTATTTTTGCTAATAAAAGCATTTTCTCTACAATATAGAATTGTTAATTTCTAAGCAAATCTGCATGTTAAGTCTTCAAAAAAGTATTTTGGAGCAATCTCTGCTAATTCTGGTGAAGTTAAGGAAATAACTACTTGTCCACAACTTTGTTTAACAATAACTGATGATACTCTGACAAGTATTACTGCTGGCGGCCAGTTATCATCCAAGAAGGTATGTTCTAGGTTAGTCTCCTATTTGAGGTAGAGCTCAAATTGTCATAAACTTTATTTTGTGGGTGGCAGCATATTGCTCCCAGAATATTGCTTTAATAGTGCTGGGACCATGATGAGCTCTAAAAATCTATAATTTATTTAAGTAAAATGAACTAAAGTAGCATTTATAGTGATCTGTAACTTTTCCATGAGCTGTTATGTTTATGACAGTAAATGAAGCAAAATAACAAAGTGTGTTATTGTTTAAACAGTTGATGTTCTACTTCTTATTAAAAAAAAGGGAGGGGGGGGCGAGTGGGCATAATGTTCTGTAGCAGTATTGGGAGGGACGAGTTGTTTCTTAGTGGCTCTTACGAGAGCCTTATCTTTCCAAATTGATCTTTCTAAACCAAGTTTTGGAAGGCAAGTGGGAGGGCAACAAACTTTCTGTGAGTCATATCAGTGCATATAGCAGCTAATAAGCAACTGCTGATCATTCAGTAGGAGAATTCTGTGTTCTTTTATGTAACTCTGAAATCCCAAAGAACGGTCTCTCCTCTAGCTGCTTACAGAGGAAGATAGGAAGGTAGTGATTTCCCTGTCTCCCCCCGCCCCCCTTCCTCTGCAGTATGTTAATTTCTGTGACTGGTTTGATTTTTGCTGTGGAAACAAAACCGCATATTATAGTAAAACTGTGATATCTTGATTGTCCTGGTTAATTTTCTTCCTAGTAGCTGGTACAGTGCTGTGTTTTGGGTTTAGTATGAGCGAGCAGCTGTGTAGTGCTTAGTTGCCAGGTGGGGTTAAACCACGACACTTGGTGAAACATGATATCTGTCTTGGAGTTGCCAAAAACTGGTGAATCGCTCAAAACAGTAGACTGCATCTGTATTTGAGGTTTTTTAATGACTCTCTTCTGTTGGTCTGAGAAGGCAGCTGAAACTGGCAGAAACTGTTATAATACTATAATACGTGCTTTACCACTTTGTTCATGTTGAATGTAAGCAAGGCCATTTTGTTCTTTTTTCATGTAATGTTCAAAAAAACCAACCAAAACAGAAGATGGAGCCTAGTAAGAATTTACTACTTTTAGTATGCTTTTTGAGCTAGTGGAACAGAAATGGTTTAGAAATCCCCCAAAAGACATGTGTTTTCCCAGCTGTGTGTATGGGTCATACATAGGATTAAGATGCCATTATAACTTTTAGCAGAAGATGACAATTAACTTCTAAACATTTTATTTAAATAGCAATCACTTTACTAGCTCTCTGAAATAAAGATGGGATGTAAGCTGAATGCCACAGAGATTGTATGACACTTCAAATAGCGGCAAAAATCTAATGTGTTGAACTGTGATCAGAGTTGTTGATGGTAATAACTGTTGTGAATGGAAAAATAATTGGATGTTTTCATTGCTTAAGTTTTGAGGCGGGGAACTTTTCTGTGTGTCTCCGTAGAGCATGAAATGGCAGTTGAATGGATGTAGCAAAAATGTGTGGGATACTAGTAAATAGGGTTTCATGTGTCCTGTAGTTCGATGGCTATAAAATTAATACCTGCCTACAGTAGCATTCACTGGGGGTATGAGTAGCACAAAACAAGACCTGTGTGTGATATGAATATATGCAGGTGATTAAAAATTGTTCTGAAGATTGCATTTTGTGTTTTAGCTCTCAGAATTAAGTCACTGAGATCAGAAGATAAAAGCTTAATTATAGCATTGGCTGTGAATGCTGCCTTTCCAGGTGGAGGTTTCTGCTGCTTTCCCTGTCATACCAGACTATCTTTTACAGCTTTTGAGGAAAGAAGAGCTCAAAATACTCTCGATTGATGGTGCCAGTGTCTTCAGATTTCCCTGCCAAGCTTATTCTTCAGTTTGATCAGTCTTAGTCAGATGTATAAAATACTGAGCATGTGGCCATGGCTCGGTTTATGTTAATGCATCATCAGTAAAGTAGCCCAGTATTTAAAAGACTAAATATTGTTATGATTTCTGAAACAGCTGTAAAATCTAGGTATTTTGCTCCAATATTTGTCTGACTCAATATAAAGCTCGTGGATCTTACTATTAAGTTGTTGTTCACCTATAGAAGAAAAGTAGCAGATGCAACAGTGGATAGATTTCAGGAAACTAGTGCATGGTTGTTGAATATAAGAACTTCAAAACAGATAAATTATGACTCATGGTACATATCAATTATGGACTGTAATTCATATTTACTTTAAAAAAATGTACAACTTGACTACTTGATACTCTCCCCTCCCCCCCTTGGTAGAATATCAGCTCATACTGTGGAGGTAGTGAACTGGCACCAGAGCTTCCCTACACTTTGAGCATTGTAATTATATTTTCCTCAAAGCTGATCTGAAATATTAGCATGTGATTTGTAAGCCAGCAGAAATAAGGATTTATGTAACTCACTTCATTGTCAGCTACAGGTTAATTGGCATCTACTGTTTAAGATGAATTTAACTCATGTATCATTTGTGATGAAACTGGGGTTTCTGCCATGTTAATTATCAAGTGCAGACTTGTCCTTGCATGTTGAGTAAATCTAATTTGCAGCATGTATAAGTAAAATAAATGTTGACCTGAGACTTAGTTAAGAAAATAAGTCTAAAAGTAAATGCCACACAGCTACTGCAGTCATTTTCATATCTCTTGCTTGATCTTTTTTAGGAACAGAAAAGATGCAAGTCAGAAAAATAAACTGTACTAGGGAAAGGAAAACTGGCTGTCTAGCACACTGAGTCATGTCCAGCATAAATTTAGACGTGGTTCTTTCACTTCTCTTAGGTATTTTTTCTAAAAATTAAAATTGTATGTCATGGTGGACCACTAGTCCTCTTCTGGTCACTGACAGGAAATATCAGAACAGCTTTGATATAACAGGAGTTAGACACTGCTTAAGGTGTGGGGAGCTTTTGCTTTTCCTGCCTGAGGTTTGTGTTGCCTCGATTGAGGCAGGTTTGGGCTCCCATTTGTAACCCAGCTGCAATATGTAAGTGTTCAGACAGGGTTGTTTGTGGTGGCATTCTACTCGGGCGTTAAATGTTAAAATGAATAGGTATTTGATATTTTCATCTGTGACACTTGACACACGTGTTTCAAGGATTAAAAAGGGCACGGAAGCACTGCTGAAAGTTTTTTCTGTGGCGCTGGCTTGCGGAAAATACTCCTGTGGTGACTGAAAACTGGCATTTGCTTTTACAGCTGGATTCAAGAGTTTGTGTAGTAGTCCTCTTCCCCTTTATACTTCAGTCTCATTTTCTGTAGTTCCATATGTGCCTGTATTCCAGGACAGTAGGATGTTTCCCAAAACAGACTGTGTGTTCTGTGTAATAATGTGTTCTTATCGCCTGTGTGTGTCTTACCCAGGATGATTCCTCACAGTGTTTTAATTTTGTGTACAGATTCCTTTTTATTTTGTCATTTCATAGGAACCTCCAGAAGTTAAGTCTCTTTGGGGATATAAGCATTCTGCAACAACATGGAAGTATATCAAATACGTACCTCGGCAAGGTTGACCCTGATGGCAAGAAAATTAAGCAGTAAGTTATATTTGTAAATTGTCAAATATATTAAAGTAATAACAGATAACTGAACACAGATTTTTGTGCCTGAAATAAATGACTGAGAAAGCTTTATGTTTTTTAATAGGATGAGAATCTAAATTCTTAAATTGAGTTGATTTCTGTTCCTACTATTTACATGAAGTAGTCTGTCTTTGTGGCTTACTTTTTTTCCCTTCTCAGCAGGGTAAGAATCCTTTATTTCCTCTTTTCATTGTGTTCTAGAAACAATATTATGTTAATAGCATGAAAGGGGAGGAGGGATGGGGGGGTGTTACCAGCACCTCTACTATTGCTGTACATGAGAAAATTAGAAAAGGAAGTAATCTATTGTATTTCACAAGAGTCAAGGACATGTAGCAAGTAAACTTGAAAGCGAACATAAACACAAACAACTTCAGGTTGCATCTCAAAACTAGGTTATGTATTTGCAGAATTCCTGGAAGATCGTATCTCTCAATGGGCTTGTTTATTTCAGAGGTGTATTTTAGCTTGCCATAATTACATTATGGTGCGGTCCTTGAATACTTATAAATCAGAACAGGAAATTCTTCTATGGAAAAGGTTAAATACAATGTAAAAAGCTACTGACTTACGGAATGAATTACCACAGAGGGAGTGATGCTAACTTAACTATTTTAGCACTTATGCTAGAACTTTCCATATAGATAAAACCTGGTGAATACCATTGTTTCAATTTGTGTCAGTTTGACCATCTTTTAGTAGCTTGGGAGTGGAGTAAGTACAGCCACTCTAGATCTTTACTGTTGTTTTTTAGAGTGGTTTTAAAACTAGTCTAGGTTTATTATCAGATGTATGTGAACACAACCATTGAGCTAAATGTTTGGTCCTGACTTAAATTTGCAAAACAGTGCAAATACAGATGTGTGTCACATACTGTGTTTTTTGTCATCCATTATGCTTAGCATGCAAAATTTAGAGCAATTTGGGATTTTGTTTATATGTACTGTACTGCTGTATGCAGGTAAAAGGCTGGTTTGATAAAAGCTCCTTTGTTTCATATCCTTTGTTGTGAAAATATGCTTGGCCCAAGGGGGCTTGAAGAGAGCCACCTAAGCTGGGTGTATGGTTAAACATTTCTTCAAACAAATAACAAAAATAAGTATGCACATTTCAGAGCCATAAGCCATTCAAAACTTATTATCTAATTTGAAGTTAATATTGACCTTTCATATTTTGGAATGAGTAAATAAGTGCAACCTCTTGTTTGGTGGTGTTTTTTTTTTCCCAGAATAAAACAATTTATTTGGGACATGCTGGTCCTTTTCTAAATTAAACAAAAGCTGGCAGTATTTTATTCAGTATTCTCAAGTTCATCATCACTAGCAGCAGAGTTACTTCAGGAAGTAAACCTTTATGGATTCTTAGTCGTCTTTTGCACTTGGGGTTTACATCAGTTAACTGATAACTAACACTGAAAGAGATTGAGCAGCCTTTGGAGACAGCATTATTGATAGTTGAGAATTTTTGGAACCCGTATGGTGATAAACCTTAGTCGCTGTCTGCAATTAAAGTAGCTGGGGAAGAAAATGTGACACTTCCATAAGTCTGTAGCATTGAGCTGAATGTAACAGATTGTGGGTGAAAATCTCAGCTAGCACAGAACCGTTAGGATGCTTCCCCAGGTTAAGACTAAGGGTTGTTCTGAGGGAGAGGAGGCTTTCGATGGTGTTTTCAAAACTGTACTTTTGCAGGGTTTGTAATGCATGTTCTTTTTCTGCATAGCATATGTGTCCCTGGTTGCTTTCTAAAATTCTCTTTACAACTTAGTTCATTACTGTTGGGAAGCTCAGGGTAAACAGTACATTTGTCTTGAACAAAGGGTGGTTGTTTAAAATTTTGCCTTTCTGAAATCTGCTTCCCATGATTGATCTGTGTGGTTCAGATAGTTTGGTTTCCAAAAGAACCAGTTTAGTCTCTGTTATTAAACAAAACATAATGATTGATAGGCTTTAATTAAACAAATGGACTCCATATGGACCTTAGTAATATGTTTGTTTCCTGTTCAGGGCCATCAATGTGCTTCAGTACTGGTCAGGACTGTTTTTTGGGCTTAAACAGTAACTCAGACTGTCTAGCCAGGCTTTGGTCTGTCCTCTGGCTGAAAGTGTCATTTGAGGCATTAATTATGAAAGTAATTTATTTTGAGTTTTTTTTTTTTTTTTATATAGTTTGCTCCAGTATGATCATTGGTAGGTTTCAGGTTGGTGGTGAACATCCCGTAATTGCTGCTCAGAGGGAGCAAAGGGGACTGATAAGTAGACTTGTTGAGGCATCACTTGGTTTTATGTTGCTGAGCTCTGCTTGTATTCTGTGTTATGCTTACTAAACCATGATTAAACTTCAGCTTTATAAGTGAGCTTTAAGATAACCATGTGTAAGTTAGGATAAATACTGTACTATGTGCTAGGCAATTGAAGTAAAAGTTCATATGATAATCATGTAGGTGTTAATTCACAAGAATTCACTTAATGTATCTAAATTTCTAGAAGACAGTTCAATCTGTTTTAGCAAACTCCAGTTAGATGCAGTCTGTTTATGAAAAATAGGATGTGCATAAGAATTTGCAGGGGAGGAAAGAGCCCTGTTAGGGTGTTTGAAAAATTTATTTGAAATAGGTTTAAACTAATGGCATGTGGTTTATATTGTGCTTCCTGTCTGACATTATATAAAGCATGTATTAAAAACAATCCAAAAGTGATCACTATTAAATATTCTCTATTGACGCATTTGATCTCTTTTCATTAAATCGGTAAAAATGTGGGGGAAGGTGGCTGGAAAGTTTTCCTAGGCCCCAATGGGTTGGTAGACTATCAGCACGAATCTGGATACTTGTATAAATACTTTGGTGCTTGCAGTGAAAAGTTGATGTAGATGCTGATTTAATGCTGTGTCTCTTGTTAGAAGTTACTTAGTACAATTCTCACAGGGGAGAAAACCCACCCTACAGTTGCAGAGTTCTGTATCATATTTCCTTTCATTAAGTTGTGCTAGTACTAGAACAATACTCTTCCAATCTTAGATGTTTAAGTTGTATTAGAAGTACAATTTAAACACATCTTTAGTGCAGTGAGGCAAATAGATAGTAGTATTCTATCGAGTATCTCAAAATTGATTTGTCAGCTTTTCAGTTCTGTTAAATATTACAAGTACTATCAAGATTGACTAATTTGACTATTACAAAATAAATTCTAGCATTGCTGCCACCATTATAGCACCTTTTGTGGATATGATGGTGAGAGGGGAAAGGGAAGAGTCTTTTCTAATTAGAAGAAATTAGATAGGTTTGTGTGGTAGAAGAGGGATTGTCAATGAATCTACCCTCAATTTAAGCATTGGCAGGAATAGTTATGAAACAAACAATGCCAGGATAAAGCAGGGCTCTTCTGAACTGTAAAACAATGTAGGAATAAAATCGCAAACCTACACTATCCATGACTCTTGACCTGTTGTTTAAAACTGTGTTTAATTTGTGATACAGTTGCCAGTCCTCAGTTTAAAAAAAAAAAATATTCAGAGAAGATCTGGAATAACTGAAGTATTTAAACTTGATGACTGTACTAGGCAAAACTTTGGGAACTGTTCTGAGGTGTATAATAGATAAATATAATAAATTTATTATATTTAAATAATAACAAATTTAAATATTATAAATAAGAACCACATGAACTCTTCCACTTGCAAAGAGAAGTCAGGCCTTGCAAACCCAGTACATTCTTAGGAGAAGGACAAAAGCACATGCAGGCAAGGGAGAGGATGAATAAGAATTTGCAAAAGGAGACCATGAATAAAGATTGTTCTTTTAAACTTTCTTACAATGAAGGATTATGGGGCATCAAAGGTAGTAGGTGGCAGGTTCAGAGCGAGCAATAAGAGGGGGGAAATCTCACTGCAGAGTTCTTTATTGTTGGATGTTACAGTTGCTAAGAGCTTACTTGGCTCAAAGAGGAGCCTGGATAAATTTGTAGAAACGAGGTCCCTGAGGGTTACTAAATACAGAAAGCCATCTCTGGCTCAGGAGGGTCCGAGTTACAAATTTTTGGAAACTAAGGAGGTCTTTGAGAAATATCCCTCTGTGCTTTCCTTATTCTGTCGTGCTTCTTAAGGTGTTAGTGTTTCTCTGCTGTCAGTCAGGATACTGGGCTAAATAAGCCTTTAATTTTGTCTGGACATTATCTCGGCTAGAGACACATGGATGAGAATAGTAACTTGCAAGGCTGTTTTGCTTAGATGTATATAAAATGCATGATGCTCATAACAATAAAAGAAAAAGTGTTCTGTGCAAAACATTACCTGATTTGAGGCACAAAGATTTCTGTTCATTTTGTACTGGAGGTGTTTACATCTTCTTGGCATTTTATGGAACTGTCATAGCCTGGCTCAACTGCTTCCCTTAAATGCTGATCTTTCCTTCTGACTGACCAGGGTATGAGATCAAACTCTCATCTACACGTGTCCTAGAATGTATATCCTCAAAGAACACTTGTCATTTAGTCAGGAGGACTCTTTTGGGCCTTAGCAGCTGTGGGATGAAGACTGGAAAAATAATTATTTGGAGAAAGTTTGTAGAGTTTGACTGTACTATTTGAATTTAATATTAAAAATCTTACCTTAAAATACTTACTGTTGCCTTCTCAAATTAAATAGCTAACTTACAGAACATTGCTTCTTTAAAAAAAATGGATGCAGCAGTAATCATTCAGCCTAGTAAATGATATGAGGATCTGGCACTGATAATCTGAGATTGAAATGTTACCAGGTCCAAGTTATGTTGGTAAAACTTGAACCTGTTGACACTTGAAAGTCCAGTTAGCTGTACATTCAGAATTATTCAAAGGATCTACTTTAGATACTTTTATTATATTTTATACTTTTATATACTTTTTGTATGTTTGTACTCAGCCTTTAATGAGGCAAAGTTAAGCAGGTAATTTCAGATCATTCTAACTTATGCTGAAAGTCAAGTTTCTGCAACCTTTCACATTGAAAATGACTTTTTTTTTTTTCCATACTGAATTTGCAGTTCTGGAGAGGTTAGCAAATATGAAAAGCTGTTTTAAAAAACAAGAACTGTGTTGTAAAAGCATTACAGGTTTTCTTATTTGCATAACCTTAAAATGTATGTGGGAGGGTGTCAAATACGTGCTGAGAAATACATGAAATGAAGGTTCATAGCCTGCCACTGTTTCTGAAAGACAAAGTACATAATTTTTCTCAAGATACTTCACAATTTTAACCTTTTAAGTGCACTGAAGGTTAAATTGCTGTGGAACGTCTGTAGAGTCAGGTTCTAACATTTGTTGTTCACGAGAACCGTAATAATAGCTCCTTCCTCCAAAATACAGCCATAAATGAAATAAGAATACTCGAATTAAAAAAATAGAATGATATGCAATTGGTAAGACTAAACCGTGTTTAATAGGATCATTGTCTGTTTTGTTTACTTGCAGAATACAACAGCTGTTTGAAGAGATATTAGGCAATAGCAGGCAATTGAAATGGCTGTCTTGTGGGTTTATGCTGCAAATAGTAACTCCCACATCATTGTCCTCCTTATCAAACCCCATAGCCAACACCATGGAACATCTGAGCTTACTGGACAACCACATCCCTGGTAATACCACTCTTATCACTGCGGTTGAATTGGAGCGCTTTGTGAATCTGCGTTCGCTCGCTTTGGATTTCTGTGATTTTACAGCTGAAATGGCAAGAGTCCTGGCTGACAGCAACCATGTGCCTTTGCATCGACTGTCCCTCCTGGTCCACAGTGTTTCCATAATGCACAAGTCATTGGACAGTATGCCAGAAGATGAGAATTGGAAGGCGCTGACTCGCAACAGCACTAATCTTCGGGTCTATATAATGGCTTTTGATGTCAAGAGTGATGATATGTTAAGGATTCTTAAGCCCAGTATCCCCCTAGAGAGGATTCATTTTGACAGCTACATCACTTGTGTTTCAGGGGCTGTTGTTGACCTCATATCCAGGCAGTATGACAAGTTCCTCACTCATTTTATACTAATGAATGATGTGATAGATATGTCTGGCTTCCCAGATCTTAGCGACAACCGGAATGAAGATCCACTTGTCTTATTAGCCTGGAGGTGCACAAGACTGTCTCTCCTAGCTGTTCATGGTAGGTAATACATTGCATGGGTGTAGTATGTGACTTTGAAATGCTTAAAACATTTCAGCCTTTCTAATTGTAATATGTTTTACTGGAGTGATGTTTGAAAGTCTGCTGCACAGTAGCTATACACACTGTTGTACCTTATACTGTTATTTTGGTGTTTGAAAATATGGTAGTTATTGTGTATTAGTTCTAAACATACTTGTAGCTTACTGACTGCTATTGAGAAGTCACACAGTATTTTGTTAGTCTGCTCACAGAAATGAGGATAACTAAGAACTGAGCATTCCAGGAGGCTTATCCTGAAAGTTGTGTGCACTGTGCAGGTTCCACCAAGTGGCTGGTTATGTGGATGTGAACACTGGAAACGTTTGCTGTTTTACTGTGAGGTCATGCTGACAAGATTAGGTGATAGATGATTGTGATTCCTGTTGTAAATAATATGGGTTAAGTGCTCCAAGGCCGAGGGGAGGGCAGTTTGGTAAGACTTTGCCAGCAGATGAAGGCTGAAAAATAAAATGTATAGGAGGTTGCCTCGCTGAGTGCATTGGTTTCACCAGTAATACTAGAGGTAGGTTTATCCCACCTATTTATTTGCCAAATAAATGCGCTTTTTTTTTAAAAAAAAAAAGCATGCATTTTTATTCAGCTCTGTCATCAGTACAGTACTTGCTAGAAGTTACAGTTGTCTGGCAAATTTTAAGGCACCTGCAACTGAAATAATACAGAATAGTTCTTTTTGTGCTGGAATCAGCCTCCTGAGACCAAGCTTGCCAATGCATGAAGGAGTTAAGTGATGACTCTGTATTGTGTTGCATAAGAATGAATTAATTTCCTCAGATTGCTTGGAGGAGTAAATCTCTAGTCCTACAGCACAAACAGGAGAGACCTTCAGCAGTGAAGGTTGTACATCCAGATTTCAGTTCATTGAAGTCAGAAGGTCCTGCTGTATTTGCTAGAAAAAGTTTTTCCACTGTCGTCTTCTGAAAAATCATTGCAGGGTGGAGGATGTCAGTTCAACTGTCTCACCTTTATAGTTTCCAGGTCTGACAGATTTTTGGATACTGGTACATGACCTTTAACCACTCTCAGTGTGGATTTTAGCAGTTCCTTTTAACATTTTAATACAAGCTTAAGGACCTTTTAAGAAAAAATAAATTTTAAAGAAGTTACCTTAAATTATCCTCCTACTACAGGGAAGTCCTGTAATATATTATTTAAACTTAAAAAGATGGTAAAATACCCAAACATAAGCTAGCGTAAGTATCATTTAATATCAGAGCATGTCTATTCAGTAGAAGGTGTTAATATGTGCAGAGCATTGGGAAAGCAAATGCCTTCTACAGTTCTGTGTAGCAAATGGTTGTTGCATCTTCTTTCTTTGGACAGATGCTGTGTATACCTGGGGGAGAGAATGGCCAAATATCACGCTTGCTCAGATGCTGGGATTCAGGTTCCTTCCCCTTCTTTTCTCCCCTCCTTGCAGCAGAAGCCAACTAAGCTGCTTATAAATGCCTCCTCATCTTGTTTTAAGCTGTGAATATGACTTCTCTGGTACTATAGTATAACTGTCTTTCTTCTGGAGTAGCAACTGTGAGAAGAGCGTGACTAGGAAGGAAGATTAGAATACTGAGATGCTTCAGTACAGCATCTTAGCCTCATGCTTGTATTTTCTGAGGTTTGCCAAATAATGGTTTCTGGCTCCATATGTCATGTTCTTCATGATACTATCTAGCTTCCTTCAGGAAAAAACCGATGGCTTTGTTCAAGCTGCCACAATTCACCTTATTTGTAAGTGCACAGGTTTCTTCTGTCTCTTGAAGGGATTCTTCAGTTTCTAATACTTCTCAGGGGTTTTTGGTTTTCCCTCTTTTGCTATTAGTTTGCTCTGAAAAAGGCTTTAATTTACATATAGTTTTGGCTACCACTTGTCACTGGCCAAAAGAGGAGGGGGAAACCATACCCTAAGGGACACTCTTTTCCTTGGGTGCCTCAAGATTCTCTTCTGTCTTTTGTGGGAAGTCATATCATCTTTCCAGCAAGGTAGCATCTTCAGGAGCAGAGGAAAGCTGATTGAAGGATGTTAAATATATTCTTGCGGAATGAAAGGTGTGAAGAGTGTGTGGTCATTTGAGATGAGATAGGGACAGTAGGATAGTCAGAGTGGTATGGTGTGGCACTGGGAATAAAAAGCACAGCCCTTGTATGGCATCTGCACCCTTTTTTTTCTTTCCCCTCCCTCCCTTTTGCTTAAGAGAAGGATGCTTCATGTGCATTTTCAAGACTTTGGTTGTAAAGATACTGTGTTACCTATGAAATTCTCAGTTTTATTCTGCCTGTGAATAAAGCTAAAGTTGAAATTTTTACCAGCAAAGAGAAACAAATTGTGGTGCTGCCCGTGGTGAATTTTGTGGTGAAGTGATCATTCCCTGTTATCTCTGAACTTCAGTTGGGCAGAGGCTTTTTGACTGCTTGAAGGTTACTGAGAAACTTCAGGCAAAACTTTTGAAAAGAGAATTAATTTAAAATTAGATGAGAATAAGATGGTTCTTCCAGAGCATAGAGGATATGACCATGAAAAGTTATAGCAAAGCCCATGTACCTGAACCACAAGAATGGTACAAGGGACTTAACTGCAGTTGTTGCCTTTATTCTTGTGCTTTCTGTCAAGGATTTCTTTATTAAGTTCATTCATGATCAAGAAGACTGGAAGGAGTTATGAGCTCCTCTAAGTCCTAATAGGGGAGTGTCATTGTAGAGGTAGAATTTCCCATTTGGTTTAATGTCCTACAGCCTTATTGACAGCTTCACCTTCTGTGGACAGTTGTGCTGGAGGCAAAGTATCAGCAGACAAAAATTGTGGGAATTCATGCATTCCTAATGGTTAATATACCAGAAATGAGTCATACAGATGTGTGCAGGCTTCTTTGTTGAAAACCTATCCTAAGCAACATATTTACATAACCTTAGAGACAAACAGTAGGAGAAAGTAAAAGAAAATAGAGTGAAAATTTCTCCTTTGTTACTTTGACATTAGTTTTCTTAATTCTTTAGCTAGCTGTCTTATTTTGTTATGTTATGATGTAGAGCATGTTAACTGCACTGTTGAAGACCAAATTAGAGTTAGTTTTTATTTCTCAACAGGTTAATTTTCCCAGGTCACATACTGTGCAGACTGCAGCTTTACTTGCTGTCTAAGTGGGCATCTCATCTTTAGCACCTGTGAGAATGAGGGTGAAAGCAGAAATGGATTCTTTACTTTTGCAGTGGAAGGGCTGACTTGGCAGAGCTCCCAAAAAGGGAAGTTCCCAGCTCATCTGTGGTTTGCATCTGGTTATGGAGGAACTCAGCATTTGCCTGAGCCAGGGTACAGAAAACTAACATGTAACTGAGGAGTAGGTGGTTTTAAAGAGGGATGCCAGCATATACTAATGGGAAGAGAGGGAAGCTTTGTCATTATGTTTAATCTCGGATAGAATAACAAGAGATTGTAGATTTTTTTTTTTATATATATATATACACACTGGTGTGACCTATTTCCTGGAGAGACTTCTGTTTTTTGTGTACTGGGGATTTTTGTTTTTGTTTTGGGTGGGGGTTTTTTTAAGTCTGCTGCTAATGCAACAAAAGCAAACCAGATTTTTTTTCTAGCACAAGCTGTTTTAAAACAGTTCTTTCATACGTTTGCTTAAAATAATTGATTACTCGCTTTTTTCATTCTATTTATTTATACTATGAAGTAGGTCACAGGAGGTTCGAAATTGTAGATATAACTTAACTTGGAGTAAATAAGTCAACTTCTCTACAAATGGTGAAAAAATTAGATGCAGAAAAGCTTGGTCAAATGACCTGAAATATTTTTGATACTTTCTTATTCAGAATATCACATGGGGTTTTACCACTTGCAACCAAAAAAAACCCCTACTGTAGGGGAATTCTGCCAGATGGAAGATGGCAGAATAGTTTGGGAAGGATGTTGAGATGCTCTGGTATTAAGTACTTCTGTTTTAAAAAAAAAAAAAGCGCCTTGTAGCAAAATGATGGAGCAACTTCCTTTTTCTTTCCCCCTAGGTTACACAGTTTGGGCTCATAATCTTATAGCAATTGCTCGTCTTCGTGGCTCCGACCTGAAAGTTCTGGAAGTCACAGAAGAAAGCATTGATTTTGACCAAGGAGAACTGGCTGATCAGGATGTGGATCCAGTACACAATCTCATTGAGCAAGTATCTCTCGGATTGGGTCGACCTTGGCACGCAGTCATGGACATAGAACTGCTCAGTGTCTTCACTGAGCCAACCCGTCACTTCTACAGAGAGATGCAGAGCTTCAGTGAAGGCATTTAGCTCCTTATTTACAATTCCTGTGGTTACATATGCAAGTAGGGTCCTATTATGTTTTTTCAGTAGCGTGAATTAACCCCTTTTGTGCTGTGTTTAATCAGTATTAGCTATATAGAATTATATATGTGTATTCTACTTCTTGATCAAAGAACGTAGTCGGGTATTGGTTTAGAAGCTGAAAGTGGCAGTGTTTAGGGTTTTCACGGTTAATGGACTTGTCTACCAAACCTTACAGAGATACAGCCAAAGGCTGTCTGAGGTTGCCGGCTAACTTTACTTTTATTGAGTAACTGCATTTTGAATGATTTTACTGTTATGTCGGAGTTCTCTGCTCAGGAGCCAACTCTTTTTAATACCCATATCCCCAGCCCAGTGGATTTCTATGCTGTCATTGTGTGCTTAATCTGGTAGCATGCTACTTAATAGGCTTAAAGGAAGAGAAGTCTATCCAGGGCTGTTCACTGTAAGACTCTCACCTTGCTTTATTTCACGTGCAGATTCTGAAGCATGACTTCACTACCGTTCTCAGCTTTTCTTGGCTGTTGAGCAGTGATGTGAGACACTAGCCATTCAGGTATCTGCACTTAGAGATTCACTCCATAAGTCTTTTGGATTCTTTGCAAAGTCCTCCATGTTTATTCTCCTGTTCTGTCATCTTCCTTAAAAGTTAGCTTTGGGCCAAAGTTTAAAAGTGAAAAGCAAGAATGTGCACTCCGATGAGGTAAAAACGTAACAGTGAAGACTTCAATACAAAGGTATACACCTGCAAACAAACATTAGTCGTGAAATCCCTAGCAACCGAGTCACTGGATTTTCTCTGTCAGCGCCTGTGTCAGCTGCCAAAGAATAGATTAAAAACGAAGAAGTGCCCACATGCTGGCAGGGGCAGGCCAACTTTTGGCCAGCCAGATACTGCTAGATTGTAATATATAAGGTCGAATTTCGACCTGTGGTACACAGCTGTGCTGTGGCTCAGTCAGCAACCTCAGAACTCTTAACAAACATGCACCTGTTTCACTGTGAATAGTGAATGTAAAGGAAGGAAAGGAAACAAATACAAAGCTTGTTCTATCACAGGTATGAGCTGCTATGATGCATGAAGAACATTCCATGAAGTATGTTTTAAAATCTTGTTATATCTGAGAGGCTTTAAAAGCCGATTTAACTGTTTCAGGGCAACCGCGGTACAGACGTGGTCTCTGTGAGACTTCCACCTGACCCCAGTTTTAAGTGGTACGAATGTTGTGCATTTAATGTTTAAAGGACAGTCTGCAATAATAAAGTAAGTGGCCAACGTGGGTGCCCAGCAGTGCTGAGACCTGGCTGCTATATTGTAAGCTTTGGAAAACACAATTTATGCAACAGATGTCCAGATATGATTCTATTTATGGAAAAGTTTATATGTGTTTTACAAATGGTTTTACCATCTTATATTAAAATGACCTTTTGACAGGTGTGCGCTGTTTTGTCTCCAGTGAGCACATACCATGCGGATTTTATATGTACATCAGTAGAGTGAATCCACTGGCACAGTGTGTGTATATGCCAGATGTGGTGAGATTTTATCTTATAAATGTGATCAGATAAAAAAAAACTCCTGACAGAAAATGTAAGGAAACCAGCTGAATGTTTGAATTGATGACTGATGTTGTATGGTTTATGTTAAATGTATATTCTTTTAATCTATGAATAAAGCATTAAAAATTGATCGCTGTATAAAATATTTTATTGTATCAGCATGAAGATTTTTTAGAATTAAAATGCAACATCGTTCATAAACTGTGTATAACTGGTAGCTCCCATTGTGTTTAGGTCAACAAAAGAGTCTAAAAGTAATTTTTTAAAATTTGGCTGAATTTTGTCAACATTTTTGGGGGGGTGGAGGAAGGGGAAGGATGCTTTGCTAAAGATCAGACTATCAGACCAGTTAGCACAAACAGTATATCATGATATGACTTATTAGACTGATACAGTAAACTGTGGATTGTAGAATATAGAAGACTATTTTTGAGAAACTCCTGCATCCATTGCGATTGCTTAAATCAAAATCTAATGTGCTCAAGAACAATGTGTAGTATTTCTTTGGTGTCCCACTATTAAATAGATTATGAATACCTGCAATGCTTCAGTTTGACGTTTTATCCGTACTCAGAGTACGTAGCTGTGCATTCTGAATGAAAACTGCAATTGTCTGGTAAGCGGCCAAGAGCTGCCGGGCCCTGCAGTGGCTGATGGTGCTGTGAGAATTGTCGGAGTGACTGTTCCGTGTGTGTGTGTGTGTGTGTGTGTGTGTGTGTGTGCTAAGCAAGGATTTGAGCTTCTGAACTTCATTTTCCGGTAGTCCAAACTGCTACCAAGCATGAGAATTTTACTGCTGGTTGTTTAAGCAGTCTTCTAGATCAGGTAGATTTGGTAAGCAAGATCATTTACCAATTTACTGAAGAGATGTTGTGGGGAATAAAGTAAACATACAGCTTTTCATGTGCCAGTAAAGTGAAATAATGGGACTTGGTCTCAGTGCCTTTCAGGGCTTAGCCTCCAGAGGGAGATTTATGTAGCAGTTCAATCTGACAGGGATTGTTTGGCATCATCTGGACCTTAAATTTGGTCATAAAGTGATCAAGATTTCTGGCTTTTTCTGTGTGACTTCCTGAAGCAAATGCTTTGTCCTCTGGTTTAAACAGTTGCAGGATGTTAATTTTATCTCTGCAGGCTTCTGTGTTTCTGTGGATAACTGCCTGCCTTTAAGGCACTTGGGAAATGACTTGTTTACCTTTCTGTTATATAAACCAGCCTCTTTTTAAAGCATGAGTGTGTAGTGAAGCCTGTACCTTCACTAGTGTTGGAGAAATACACTTCTGATTGTTCTGTTGTCTTAGAAATAAATAAAAGTTGGTTCTGTTGTTTGTTTGTATTTTTAGCAATAATCTGCAGGATGAAGGGATTCAAGTTGAAGCAATCTGAAATCAAGTGATGGGAAACTAAGATGGTCCTAATGTGGAAAGTGCACTTGCATTTGGATTGGGGCCTTATGAACTGTGTGAAATTGCTTGGAGCTTGTATAATCCCAAACGGGATTTAATTTTTTTCTTTTTCCTAAAGAGAAAGTGATGTCAAATGAGGCTTGCTGCATTCTAGATTTAGCAGCAGGAACTTGCGAAGACAAGCTCTCAATTGTTAACACTGGACTGCCTTTTCTTTTGGGGGCAACAGGGACTTTGGGCCTTTAGAAAATAGCTAATTGGCTATAAATGATGCAACAGCTGAATTAAGCGACACAGCAGTTAAAACAATTTAACACAAATGATGCTTTGGAATATCTGTTGTCAGAATTTGTTCTTGAATAGCTCAAGTACAAAGGCTTATCTAATTGCCTCGGAGGACTAAACTGGAAGTAGAAAGGAGATTAAAGAAATTGCAGGAGTGAGCCATGGAAGAGTTCTGCAGCTGAAATAAGCCTATGTGGAAAGAAGGGTAGGAGCAGGAGTACTGAGCTGCAAAAGCAGCTCCCTTGGCAGCCTTGACCTAAGCAAACAAAGAAAGTGGGCTGGAGGTTTTTTTTGGTAACTTTTAATTATGGGGTGGGGTGGCTGCATTTACATTAAAGGCTGAAACTGGGTTGTGTGAGTGTGTGTGAACAGGGGGAACAGCAGGTCAACTGCCTGATGCTGCTGCAAGTTGGGGGCTTGTCGGGAGTTTTTCCTTCTTTGCCTTAAAGGGTCCTTCCTCACCCAGTGTCTGCGCTGTAAGTACATGGTTCCCGGGTTGAAGCTACTGTCACAACAACCAACAGCTTCACAGCAGGCGGCTCCAGCTGGCACAGCAGTCAGCCAGCACCAGGGGAGCTGGGCTCTGCAGCTCCAGCGCGGCGGGTGGGAGGGGGGAGGGAGGCCCTGTGCCCGCTGGGGGGGCACTGACACAGGCAAAGCAGCAAGTAGTGACCTCACCTGAAGAGGGGAATGAGGCAACACACTAATTATAAATACTGCAGTTTGCCACTTCTTTCTTGTATTTTTTAATTCTGCTATTTTTTTTTGTGAAGCCTAGCAATCACTACAAAAAGGTGCATGGACACAATTCATTTCTAAAATTAAGTTTGTTTGGGTTTTTTTAAATGTTTGCCACAGCAGCATGTTCTTGACCACTTTTGTTGGGTTTTTTGCTAAGCATGTGGAATATACTTGCTTCTGTGCTTGTTCTAGACAAGAAGGAATTTCTGTCTTGCAGTTTTAATTATCTGTATTATGTGTTGGGATGAGCATGCTTGCACTCTGGCAAATCCCCTGCCCCAGTGGCCATTTTGTTGATAAATCCCAAGTGCTCTCCAAAGTTAAGAGTTGAAGAAATTGGGAAATGGCTTGTTTCATCCCATGTTAAACAAACTGAATTCAGGTCAAGACAGTAAAAAAACCCTGTTAGTATGCTACAGCCATGCATCTTCAAAGGCAAGGTGGGGAGGGTGCTGAAGCATCACAGAGCTATGACTCCTTCCTCTATCATAACCCCTATGCACATCCTCAATAAAACACTACTCCACACTATCAGAGCAATGCAAGAGCTGCTCTATATTCCCCCTTGCCCCCACTGTATGTACAGGTAGGACAACTGTCACCGTGTAAAACTTTGAAAGCTGCAAGATTACCTACAGGGTCATTAACAGAGGATAGACAGAGTAGGGAATGATATTAATTCTTTGTTTCAACTGTTTCTACAGTACCACATTAATGGTAACATTGCCTTCGTTTTCCATAAACTTTTATTAACTGTTTCAATTTGTTTTCACATTCTATTGATAAAGCAGCAAACATCACTTTTGGCATGCAGAGAAAGTCCCTGTACAGCTAAACAAGGACAAAGCAGCTGGACTTTAAAAATATGGTCCATATAATTTTATACACCTCTGAAGAGATTACTCAAGTCAAAATACTTAATTTAAAATTACTATTGTACAATGGAAATCACTTATTCACAATATTCATAGTTATTTCATTCTCTATTTACAAAATACTATCCTGAGAATTTTCTATTAAGCTTCAATTTGAGCAAAGTAGCTTATACATATCCAAGTAACAATGGTTACTTAACATAAGGAAAAATGCCGGTGGGAGAGTACAGAAAGGGTTGGGCCTGTTGCTCAAATGACTCTGTCAGGTCTCCTGCTGTGGTTCTGGTTGTTCTACAGCAGACGGATTTGACTGAGGTGGCTCAACTCTATTTTCAGGAGGCAGCGTTGTAGGCAAAAGTCCAGGTCGTTGAGGTGGATAGTGTGGGTAAGATCTCATTGGAAATGGGTTTCTTACTGTGAGAGAATCAGAGTAGCCCTGTTAACATCAATCACAACAGTAAACAGTACCTGCTCCTCCCACCCCATGTATCTTACTGCTCAGCAATGGCCTGCCCAAACAGAAATCACAACCTGGACCTAGGTTAGGTGTTATGCTCCAAAGAGGCACAGAAGGAGGAGGACAATCACTTTTTTCAGTTCCCTGCAACAGGCTCACAGCAGCAGCCAGTCACTGTCTGTTAATGGGCTGCAGCTGCCACCACCCCTTGGTTGCAGCAGTTGTAGCACCTCGGTGCTCATACCTTACAGGTACTTTGGAAGATAAAGGGCTCAATTCTTCACAGGTTAATCAGAGAACACCAGGAAGCAGATGGAATCCCTTCAGTCTGATACTTACATCTCACTCCACGGAGAAACAATTAACAGGTATGTCCCAGATGCCTGCCCTTCCACAGACAGTAGCACACCTCAAAGCTAAAGATGTAACTTTAAGATTTATATACGATGAAACCTTGTAGGAGCAAAAGGATTAAGGTGAGCACCTACTTGCTTTCTTACCCCCCAAAACCCCTTTAAATGCTGAACAGTGTGTGTATGCATATTTTCCAGCCAAAGCTAGTATCAATGTGAGCAACTGCAAAAAAGAAAGTGTACAGCACAATTAACCTTAATCAGAAAAGATGCTCCTTATCAGTTGAACTGAAAAATAGTATGTGCAAATAAAGATGTAAGTGTTCACCCAGTGTGGTAACTCACTACCTGCACCAAGCACTCATGCTCAGCAACTTGGAGTAAATGCTGACAAAAGCTACGTACTTGGCAGTGGAGGGCGCGGAAGCCCGAAGTCTCGTACTGGAAAATATTCACGTGGTCCATACATGCCAGCAGGAGGAGGGGGAGGAAAAGGAGGTCCTCGTCTCATGAAGGGGGTTCTAGGATCCACAGGTATCAATGGAGGCGGTCGCACTGGAGGGAAAGGTGGAGGAGCAAACCCCGAGCCCACAGCTTCGCTTTCAGATGCCAGTACCTGATCAGGTAGTGAGTTCTGCAATATCACAAAAACAGGGAAGTTAGTTTAGGGCAGGGGACGAGGAGAGGGAACTTCTCCACTCCCATCAGGCCCACTGTGATGTAGACCATAGCACCAGCTAACAGCCAATGCCAACTCTGCCTCGGCTACAGCATAATCCTGAACAAGGCTATATATGTGCACTGACTATCCGCTTGACCAGTTTCATCTTTTGGGTTATAACTAATTTTCAGCAGGGATTATATTAGTCATACATCAAAATTAATTCACAAGACAGTAAGTGCTGTGACAAAAGTATACCTGTTTTATCATTTGGACTGCACAGCACAATACAACGTAACCAATGTACATTGGTTACACATTTCCTAAATATTCTGCAGGAAATTAAAGCTTCTTTAAATCAATTTCTGTTTAGCTACTTACACTGATGTTAGAATGATCTTTCATGCCATTTCCACTTGGTTCTGTTCGTGGGCTATTTTCTGAAGATGTTTGTCCATCTGTATAGAAAAAGTTAAAGAAGTTACTCAGTGCTGACCTCCTTTCTCTCCACCACTGATCTCAGTATTTTTTCTGAAATCAGAGTATAGAGGCCAGAAAAAAAACAAGTATTGTTGTACCAAGCAACTGTTCTGCAGACAGACTGAAAGACAACTGAGATACACAAAGCTATGCCTGAGTATTTTCTCCCAATTTCTCTACAGGCTGCACATGAGTTACAAGGTTGCAGCATTCACCAGTTACTTGTATCCAAAAAAGGCGCTTTTTTTCCATTTTAGTATTTTCTTCAGAAGTTACAAGTGCATTTTCCTAGGAATACATCTTAACATTACTGTATCAGTTCCATTTTTCCCCTCCCTCCTGCTAATAATTTTATTTTTTTGGTAAGACCGAGTCTGGGAATGACTACACTACGATACACTTTTCGTAAGGAACTCAACAGTAATCCTATTCAAGTCTGACAAAACCCAATTCCTTCTTTCGCTGCTAAACATTGAGACTTTCAGAACTACATCAGTTCAGAATGAGCATTCAGAAATAATCATCCTCCAATTTGCTGTACTCTATAAATTATGAGATAAATAGGGAACTTCAGTGTTTTTACCTTTATACTTCCCTAAGAACAAGTATGTTCAGTAACAACTGGAGAAAATTCTTAAGGGGAATTGTCAGAGGAGATTCTAACTGGATATAAATATACTAAGTATAGACACTAACATACTCCTTTCCTAAAAACAAAAAAACCCCAACCAAAAAAACCCCACAAACCCGAGATTTGAAAAATACTGCTTTCTTATACTTCTGCCTGAATAAAGACAATAATATTAAAAAACACAAGACCGAAACAGTACTTGTTAGAAGTGACAGATTTTTTTCATCAACATGTTGCATTTCTTCTATGAAGCAAAGAGCTCTTTTCTCAATGAAAAGATAGGTCACTTCCAAAAATCTAAATTACTTGTAATTTCAAGTAGGCCCTGCCTTTGCTGCAGATACTGTTACTTAACAATCTGAAGCATTTTAACTGCTTATGTCACACAGAGAATATTCATGCCTTGATACTTATGTGGCATATCACTTTCCACTTTAACTCCTTGCAAAATTGGTTGCAAACTCTGCCAAGCTTTAACCCTTCTTTCTGACAATAAGTTTCCTGCTCCAGGTACCTGCCTCAAGTTGGAACTTTTTGTAGTTATCCACCTCAGCTTAGCAAAATGTGTATTATTTTGTTCACTTTAAGTAAAACTTTCATTATCTTGCTGAGGAAGTGTAGCTCCTTCACTCTTTTAGAGCTGAAGCCTGGATTTCAGTACTGTGAGACATGTTGCTGTTCTGAAGTCAGATGGTATGTGCTGGATTGAGTGAGGCTTTTTTAATTTGTTGAAGGGTTTTTTCGCTATTTTTACAAATACTCACCCAAGTCTAGTGCAATTATATGCCTCTAAAAAGGCATTCATGTGTGCTTAATGACCTGTTAAATGCTGACAGCAAGGTTATCCAACACCCTGTTTCCCTTAAGTAGGTTTTGAACTGTCCAAGAACTGAAAAGAGCTTTTTAATTTATTTTTTTTTTAATTGTTGTTTGCCAGCAGCTGAAGGAAAGGGTAAAACGGATGCAACTGAGTGCAAAGACAGTGCACCTCTCCTGTCCTTCAGTCAGCATCCAAGGGCTAGAAGACAGACCCCTGTGGAACACAAAGTATTAGAAAGCAAAAGTGAAACACAGAGAGGCTTGGGAAAAAGGGTGGGAAGGTGAGTGACTGTACAGGAACAAGTTGTCTTCCAGAGAAAAATTCCCTGTAAAGCCTGAACCTTCAACCTAAAACAGAATGCAACATTCCCAGTTCTCTTATTATGACACCAAGTAACAAAAGATTCTCTCTCCTATTGCCAGAAACCAGGTAAAGATGGTAACTTACTACTGGTCAGATGAATAACTGAATACTGAGTAACAAAGTTTCTGTTACGAGGTTAATGGCTTCAGCCTAGCTGATGAATCACACACATGTGACTTACTAGGCATTAAATAAGG